TAATTATATTAAAGAACAACTATAATACATATCCTCATAAAAGAAAAGTGGTAACGTTAACTGATACATGCACACCCATGGTTACTGTAACATTATAAACAATAACAAAGAGATGAAAACAATCCATGTGTCCATCAAAGGATGAATGATTAAAGGAGCTAAGGTACAGGGCCCATTCACACAATGCAGTGTTATGAAACACTGAAGGAAGATAAGGACTTTGCAAACCACTGCATAACATGGATAAATCTAGAGGAAGTGATGCAGAGTGGCAAACGCCAGTCACAAGAGGCCAAGTATGCTGCAAGACCACTATGGTAAAAGCGTAGGAAAAGTTTAAGTACAGGTAGCACCATTCATGAATGGCCACCTTGGATGGGAAGGGATGAAAGAGTAGTGAAAGTAGGTAAGCAGTTGAGTGAAAGGAAAGGCAATGTAAAAGAAGAGGTTAGTGAGATATTATCATTAATAACATGAATTCCAATTAATTATATTAGATAAATTTTCACTCAGATAGTAATGAATAAAAGGTTTTTTCAAACTATATAAAATGTTTTTATCATTGTTTTATGACATCAGGGACAAATTAAAAATACCCCTCCCCCCCAGAGTCCAGTCATTGAGGTGCCCTTATAAAGACCCCTGCTGCTCCTTCCAGCCAATCCCATCTGGTTTCTGGGGTTCTGACCCCCTGATTGGCTATCTCTTACCTTTAAACTGTCAACTTTGTGACTTCATTCTCCCACCAGCCTATCACCACCTTGAAGAATCTTGGGGTTCCCATAGGGTTGTCTGTAAACTAACTTGGATCATCGCAAGGGACCAGTGACCAGTAACCAGTGGTTTCATACTGGACACTTATCCTCTTTGGCTTCTGCCACTCAAACACTTCCTGCTACTAGCTGTTTAACCCCTGACTCCATAGTCAATGTTTCTTCTTTGACCATGTCAGGTAAGGAAAGAAGTTATTTTAAGAGTTTTACATAAGAGTTCTCCTTCCTCTCAGAATTTAATAGTAAGGTCAAATAGCATGTGCCAGTGAGGATAATATTGAACTTGAACTCCAGAAACATAAATGGGGTTTAGGAGTCAACATTTACCAGCTATGTGACTTTGGACAGGTCATTGACTCTCCCTCAGAATCTGTTTTCTCCTCTGCTACTTTGGGATATTAGATTGTTTGACCTCTGTGGTCCCCTCAATGTCTGACAGTGACTTTGAAAGGGCGCGCGCGTGCGCACGCACGCGCACACACACACACACACACACGCAGAGAGAGAAAAAGAAACCAGAGAGTTCGTGGGAGCATTTTAACAGAAATGTAGGGGAAGCCCAAGAGGTGACACTACTAGCAACATATGTGGAGAAAGGATATACCGACTGGCCATGCTGATGATACTTTAAATGGGAAAGGGTGTTAACAGGCACAGAGCAGTGTAATTAATTTATAACATATATATATGAATGATTATTTAAAACACAAAATACATGTACAAAACACAACATATATGAATTATTACATGCAAACCAATTTTAATAATGCTTAAAAGCTGTTAAAAAGTCATATTCACATGTTCCATGGGGTTTTTAAAATCTAAACTGGCAGGAGAGAGTCGAAGAAGGGCGGGTGGAGAACACGAGGCTGACAGGAGGCAGAGATTCCAGACTCAGGATGCCCGGCGATGGTTCTCATCAAGCACAGGCCAACGGGACCCGAAAGGGGCAGAGAGTACGAGGATGACGGAGATGCAGAGCCTGGTGGAGCTCTCAGGGGACAGAGGGAGTTGAGATAGAAAATCCAAGAAAATCAAAGATTTTCAATTAAAACAGAAAGAGCATAGAGTGGGACCGACTTAGCGAGGGGCAACATGAACACATTTTATCTTCTTCTTCTTTTTTTAATAGCAAATGCTTGGAATAATAGACTAGGGGAGAAAGTAAGGTTAGAATATGGATGCTACTGTTGTTAGGTGCCATCAAGTCAAGTACAACTCACAGCAGCCCTAGGGGTGACAGATCAGAACCCTGCCCTAGCCTGTGCCATCCTCACACTTTCTGACACACTCAAGCTCACTGTACAGGCACTACGCCCCACTGTAGGCGGCTGTCCCCCACATTTCCTGGCATAGACTGGTGAGCACGTCCAGGGCTGCATCTGTCACCTGAAACATGTTCAGTGACATCATTTTTAAAAAATTGTATTATCGTGCCATTCTTAAACTGAGTGACAGTTTAACAATTATATCACATTGGCTTTCAGTCAGCCATGGAATATCAAAGAATTTAGGAAAAGCAACTGAGGAGGTAATGACACCTGTCGTTGGTATGTGGAATCAAGTCGAACTAACTCATAGCTGGCCCTGCAGGGGGCTTTCAGAGGCAGTAAATCACACGGGGGGAGGTGATGCCCACCCATCCTTCTCTCACCGAGCAGCTGACGGATTCAAACCGCGTGCCTTTGGGTTGGCAGCTCAGCCCCTTACCACTAGGCCAGGAGAGTTGACTCATCGCATCTAGTTGAGTTTTTACCTTGACACAGAACACAGATGACATTACGTAATAAATATTTTGAAAATATATTTTTAGGATGTTGCTCCCAAGAAATGAATAAAAGTGATTATAAGGGTGGAAGACGTGGGATTTTATTTCACTAATTTAAAACCCTGGAGGTTTAACCTATTTGTATCATTTTTAAAAGCATGACTCCTAACTTGCATGACAAGGAGAAATTCCTTGGTGTGAACAGTAGGTTCCAAGGAAAGGCTGGTCTTTATTTTCTGTTTTTCGGCTTCAGCTACAAAACCCAGGACCAGTCAAGCTCCACATCTCTAGCTCATTTTATCTGAAGCCGTTTTGGGGAGCTATTGCGGGAGGGGCATCCCTACATGGGAACAGGTGTTTGAATTTTTCATTCTGGTTCTCGTGGTCACTTTCTGGCTTAGGGATGCTGTTTTCTGGGTCGTTGAAGATGACTGTAATCTAAGTTTTGAGGATGAACAGAAAACCTTTATCGCATTTTATAGCAGGGATTTTTCTTGCTTGTTAAGTAGCACTATAAACTGGAGTTATCAATTTATATTAGGTTTACTATCTCTCCCTTGATGGATAAGTGATAGAGAAAGAGGAATGAGCGTGATAAAGGAATTACTTTCTATTTGTTATTTTTCTCTCTGCCCTGTACCATTTTAGATGAAATCTCTATCAACTCATGTTTATTTCATTTTGATGTTTGTTACAGGTACATTTTCTCTGTACTGACAGCAAATCCATTCAAAATTATCTTACGACTACTGCTGTTTCATTCATACTATGCACATAATAGGACATGCCTGGTTGGAATATACTTAGTAAGCACGTCTGGTTTTGATACTTGCTGCATTTTCTATTCTTCATTACCTTCCACATCTTTCAATTCTTATGATGCTGCGTGCTTTCCGTTATTAGTAGACTTATCTTCCCAGGATTATTACATCTCTTTATATATTAATCATAAAATATACACCTTTGATTCTTGTATGCATTACTACTGTTGCTGCTGTCACAGTTTTAACTGTTTTATCGATGAGGAACCTTAAGTTCACAGAGTTTAGATGAGTTTTTATTTCAAAAAGCATGTTTTGGAAAACGTAAAATGGTGCAGCTTTTATAGCAAACAATTTGATGACTCTCTAAAATCCAAACATAGCATTAGCACATGACCCAGCAATTCTACACCTAGGTGTATATATCTCCAAAGGGTTGAAGGCAGGGAATGAAACACTTAGTTGTGTACATTCACTGTATGCACTGCTGTGGGATTTCAGATGTTACATGCTGTCACGTGGACTAACTCATAGCGACCCTCGAAACAACAGATAGAAACCTCACCTCTCCTGCACCATCTACACAGCCACCCACACTCAGTCCCATTGCTCGTCACCGTGTCAAATCCCTTTTTTGAGGGTCTTCTTTTCTATCTGATGATCTACCTTTTGCAGCATGACGTCTCTCTCCGAGGACTGGTTCCTCCTTAGAAAATAAGCCCAAAGCACGCGAGATATGAAGTCTCAGCAGCCTGGCCTCTTAGGAACACTCCGGTGGCGTTTGCTTCACAACAGACTTCTTTTGGCCACGGGACACTGAGTACTCATCTGATGCCCCAACTTAATTGATGCTCCACAATTCAAAGGCATCAATTCTTCTTCCGTCTTCCTTATCCCTTGCCCTACTTTTGAACACACAGGAAACAACTGAAAACAATCATTGCTTAGATAAGATCCAGCATAAGATTCCCAATGACATGCTTGCTCTTCGAGGTCCTTGACCGTAGATGTCCCCAGTGCAACATGCCTCTTGATTTCTTGACTACAGCTGTCATAGGCCTCGCTTGTGGATCCAAGTAAAATGAAATTGTTGACAACTTCAGTCTTTTCTCCATCTGTCATGACGTTTCCTACTGATCTCATAGTGACGAATTTTGTTTTCTTTATGCTAAGATGTAATCCTTATTAAAAGCTGTGCTCACTGATCTTCTGCAGTATGGACCTCAAGTCTTCCTCACTTTGTGCAAGTTAGGTTGTGTTATCTGAATAAAGCGTTGTTAACGAGCCATCCTCCAAAATCCTTATGCCATATTCTTCCTCTATATGGAAGAATTTTTTTTTTGCTCAGCACACAGATTGAACAGGACACAACCCCACTGCACATCTTTCCTGGTTTTAACCAGGCAGCATCCCCTTGTTTTTTTTGGACACCACCTGTTGGTCTATGGACAGGCTGAGTATGAGCACAATTTAGTGTTCTAGGATTCCCATTCTTCTCAGTAGTTCACAAGATAGTTCTACAGCAATGTCCATTGCAGCATTATCCACAATACTCAAATGATGAAAACACAAATTTAGCAAATACGTAAGAAGGAATTACTCAGCCATAAAGAGAGAAGGGAAATCCTGAAACAGAGAACAAAAATGAATCTTGAAAACATTATGCTACATGAAAGGAGTGAGAAACCAAAGGACAAAGAGTGTATGATCCCACTTAAAAACCTTCTATACCAGACCAAAGTGTAGAGAGAAACCAGGTTACTGGTTCTCAGAAGCTGGGAAGAGAGGGGACTGAATTACCGTTTACAAGGTTGCTGACTAAAAGAAAGGAAAAGCAGTCTCTCATTAAGCTACCACTTGGGTAGCTTTGAACCAGGAGCAGAGTCCACCCCTGAAGGGAAGCGCAGGGTCTTTAAACTGTATCAGCTGAACCAGGTTACTTGTAAACTCCAGAAAAGGCGGTATGAATTCCACAAGAAAAATAAGACAAAGAAAATGACAATGGTAAGAGTTTGAGATGGACACAAGAAATACTTGTCTTAAAATTGTTCTTTCTCTCATTTTGGGCCAGTGAAATAATCAGAGATTGTTGAGGCAAGGGAGTCAGGACTCCTAGATTTGGAAACAATGCTACCATCTATAAAAGGGGAACCTGAACAAGTCATCTGAACACCCTGACTCTCCTTTTTCTCACTTGTAAAAGAAGAATGTTGGACTAGAAGTTCTGAAAGGACCTACACTGCAATCCCAATGGCACATGGTTCGAATCCACAGGATGCTCCACAGGACAAGGATGGACAATCTCCTCCTGTGCAGTTCACTGCCTCTGAAAACCCAACCATGAGTCAGTTCCGGTTCAACGGCACACAGTAGCAACGAGGACCTCCAAGTTCTGACATGGTTCAATGCCAGCAAACAGTCCCGGAGATAATGCTACTTCTCTAGGAAACGATGGTGCTTCTAGGGAAGAGGGCTGCTTCTAGTTGATATAGTTGAGTTGGAAACCTGCAGCAGCTTTTCAGAGGCAGCAAACTGGATGGGACAGGATGGTCCATCTGCCTCCTGCAGAGCAGCTGGTAGATTTGAACCACGTGCCTTTGGGTTGGCAGTGCAGCTCCTTACCACCAGGCCACTAGAGGTCCCTTCTTAGCTCCTGACCTAGAGAACAGTACATGAGACAGACTTTTGTGCATGTCTGGGTCCCAGTGGCAGCGCTGACTGTTAATCAAGAATATTACCACCATCACGGTTCAACCATAATGAAGTTAGATTTGGGGCATTTTATTGAGGATTAGTACAAGAGGTTTTCTGATTCCAACAGTTTTACTGCTGTTCCTCAGTTATACTGACAAGTTATCTGCCTCACTCATTCCTCTCCACCCTCTTGTTTCCTACAGAAAATTTCCCCCAACCATCTCTGCTGGGAACGCCAGATTCTCTGCAGCTCTCTCTTCCTGTGGCGAGCAACACAACGCCCTTCACAGGAAGTAACTTTAACTTCTCCAGGGTCTCTGCTCCAGCTGGCAGCTCAGAGTGGCTACTGCCATCAGCTTCTGGCACCTCTTTGGAACCTCTTCTGGGAAGTGCCTACCTTTACCAGCCTTCCAGCACAACTATGCTGTCTGCAGTTTCAGACCAGCACCAGAGCCATCCTTCACCTGCCTCTTACCCAGGGATTTTTGGGTGGGACCTCACAGGAAGCACTGAAAAGAAGTCCTCTTCACTCAAGGACTCCACTGTCACGGTCACTGACCAAGACACAGCTAGGTCTTCCGTGCCCGTGGCAATTCAGCATAACAAACCTGCAGATACCAATACCATAGTCCCTCTGTATCCATCCCTACCTACTAGCCTTGTCCGGGGGACACCAAATCAGGGACATAGCTTATCAGTTCCGCACCAGGAAGGGAGCCAGGTCTATTACTATAGTCAGGGCCCACTGGGGACCCTGCTCCCTAGAGAGCTTGGCCCTTGCCTGCAATCGTACACAGGAGGTAGGACCCCTGCTCCTCAACCAGAAATGGTGATGGTGCTAACAGAGATCCAGCCTACAAATGCCCTACAGCCGGACTCGGCCTCTGGAGTTTACTACTCCGTGTCTGAACAAGCCATCTCAGAAGCAAGTTTTCAAGGTGAGTACAAAGGGCGAGAGGCGAGAAGGATAAGGTTAGCGTTTAGGGGAGAGTGTTTCCAAATCTGCATTTAGGAAGTGGCTAGTCCACAGAGAAGTAGAATCTAGTCCTATGACGTTCAGCACACCTCCCTCATTCCGTGCTCTCCAACATTTCCAGACTCCATGTGCCCACACTGGAACAGATGGGACAGTTCACTGGTCAATTATACCCCACGTAAGAGAAGCCTAAGAGACACTGAAGGGACGTCACAGCTTCCATCGTCAAAGTGACCAGTTCCTCTGCCACCCCACCTTGTCATTAACTCCCTTCCCTGATCTATAGGGGGAAGCTGTGGTCAGGAGCTGCAAGTCAACCTAAAAGCACATGGTTCAAATCCAGCAGCCTCTCTGTGGGAGAAAGATAGGCAATCTCCATCTGGGTTTTACTCCTGAAAAGCTGTTGGCGAGTCAGCTATGGGTCAGTTCCAACTTTAGGGCACATGACAACAACAAAAGCATGGTGTCCCTATGCACAGGGGCTACACTGCCAATCCAAAGGCGGCCTTTCTCAGCAAGTCTGAATACAGCAACAGTTCTGCAGGAGAAGGAGAAACAGTCTCCCCCGCCTCCCCGAGAAGAATTAAGCTTCACACACCCAGTGGAGGGTCAGACAGGGGTTGGTTCTATCCCAAGGGCAGTGAGTCGGAGTTTTTTAATCTGCTCTTTGGCTTCTGGGGAAGGCCATCTCAGTGCTTACTGCACTAGTGCCAGTTCAACTTTCCCTCTTTCCCTTCCTTTACGCAAGAATTGAAAACCTTGCGTTCAAGGACAAAGTCTATTGAGTAATATAAACAGTCACCAAAAAGCAGGGATGGAAAGGACTGCTATTACGAAAAAGCTATAGAAAGGTGTGCACACAGAGGCAATCTTGGAGGCTTAACAAGGATGATGAGAGGAAATCATAGTAAACACTTAAACAAGCAAACCACTGATATGTAAGTAAATTTGGAGATCAAATGTACCAAAATGGCAAAAAGAATAAAACAACCAAACATTCTCACATTCAGAAAATCTGTCCAAAACCATCAGGTACAGATTTTGTCTTCACTTCCAGATCTTATGTCCCTGTGTCCTTAGTGCATGACATGAGGTGTTCTGACTTGTTCAAAAGAATGGAAAGAATTGAAAAGCTCCTCTCTAGGGATGCTAGGCTTTAAACATTTAACGGGTTTTAACTAACTTTACACTATTTATTTGACTTATAACCACCTTAAGAAATAAATAGAAAGCCAAGAAACAATGGCATCTATTGGTCAGAATTAGAACAGTAACCTCCTGTTTCCTAAACGGGCCTTGTCCATGGCCGTTCAGAGGAGCTGGTACGAAGGTGTCTCCATGGTGGGGGAAGGTGGTTGCTGCTCTGAGGTGTGCAGGAGGAGCAGCTCACTCACCAGGGGCTCACTGACTTCCTCCTTGATTCCTTTGTAGTGATGGACACGTCCCTGGGGACGGAGACTTCTTTGAGACTGCACCCTTCAAACCAGATACTGTGCCTGTCACAAACTCCAGACTTGCCCAAGTCTGGCAGGAGCAGAAATATCCAAATACTAGAAAGTAATCGATCCACCAAGCTTGAAGACAATCCCGTTACGGCTCCGTGTGAGAGTTCTAGTAACCTCCTTGCCCTGCCTCCAGCTCCAAGACAGGAACAAACTGAAAACCAGGATCTGGAAGAAGTTCAAAACAAGCTTCTGGAACCTCCGGATGTGTACCAGGTTCCAATAAAAAACCAAGACGCTCCACTAGTACCTTTAGAGACCCCTGATGTTCACCACCTTTTGGCTTGTCTGGACACCTTCAATCATGAGGGGCAGACTGGTTCAGAAAGCATTGATGTGACAAAGGACAGATTTACTCTCAACGACCAAGAGACACTTGAAAATGAGATTGGGTCTGGCAGCGGTTTTGCAGATCTCACTAAACTAGTGGAGGATATCCATGTTCGTCAGCTCTTCAACTCCATGGAAGACCTCCATCAACCCAAAGACCTCAAGGTCATCAAAGCCAAAGAAATCAAGGCCATCCAGGTGAATCAAGTGCAGGAAACATCAAGCCTGATAATGTCTTCCTCTGATCAAGTCAGGGAGAGCAAACACGAGGCTTCTGAGCCCATCAGTGGTTCTTCCAAGAGCAAAATCGAAGCAAAGATCCCAGAGAAAGAAGTGATTGCTTGCAATCCAGAAGGCGGCTACCAGGCACCTACAAATACCAACAAGTGTCCCAACATCAAACCTCTGGATCAAGCTGCATTAAGCAGGATCAGCAAAAAGAAGAGTCAAGGGCAGGAGAAGATGAAAAGAACTAGGAAAAATACTTCCAAGAAAGCTGGAGGCAGTGAGCAGTCAGTTCCAGAAGAGAAGCCCAGCATCCCCAAAAGCAAGAGGAAGAAAAATCAGCCCGAGTTTGGCCAGGAGACCTTCCAGAAGCCTCGCAGCAGCCTGGGCATGCATATGCTGGAGTCTGTCCAGGTCTTTCATGCTTTAGGGAAGAAGAGAGATCACAAAGCCGGGCCATCTTCCTCTCTGGCTCTGGGAATCTCAAGCAACACCAAATACCCCCAGCCAAGCCCAGCTGTGAGACCACGGCTGCACATCCCACCTGAGGGGCAAGGGCCCGAGAAAACCCAAGTCAGGGCCCAGCAATCTGACGGTCATACAAAGAAACATCCATCTTCATCCCAGGATAAGCTGCCACCTCCTGGGAAGGTCAAGTTGGTGCCTTTGCCTTTTCTCACCTTGGACAAGCCTCAAGTTCAACCTGCTCCTTGCAGGCCACAGTCTCTGGCCTCAAATCAACCTTTAGGGGCTCAACCTCCTGGGTCTGGTTCTACCAACTCAGCTCTATCCATTTTAAAGGTCAATGAATCATGGCCAGCTCCTGCCAATGCCTCTGAGATGAGTCCTGCTAAACCAGCGTGGCCAACGCTCACCAACCCAGGCCAACCAGCCGTGAGCAACCCTCCTTGGCGCAATGTCCTGCAGGGTCCTCCGAGGCCTGCAGCCCACACAGCTGCATCTGGCGCTGCTTTCCAGCGAGAGCCGGTGACCACTGTTGGGAGCAAGCTGCAGCCCCCATCTAAGCCTCAAGCCCAGTTTCTACTGCAGGACTTCAGCTTCCAACAAATCCCATGGAAGAAGCCCAATGTCCCTGAGCCCGTGATGTCCAAGCCCATCACCAATGAGCAGAGGCCGGAGCGTGAGGCCATGAAGAGGCGGGCTCAACAGGAGCGTGAGAACGCTGCCAAATACACCTCGCTGGGCAAGGTGCAGTTTTTCGTCCAAAGGGAGAAAGACATGGACATTGCTCGGTATTATGGTTACGCGATATGATTGGCACTTCTAGGATTTTTCCCGTCTCTTTGGGTACCACCATCCATTTTTTCCATGTATAAATATACAGATATTATATAAGTTTCTGTATTTATTCTATAGCTAATAAATTTAATAAAATTCAGTGAAGAAAACAATAAATGAGCGATAAAAAAAGACCGTTGTGTTTCAATATGCCTTTAAGGATTATTTTCTTAGGTGGGGTAGAATCAAAGGCGGCATTAATTACAAAGGCAGGAACTTTGGATCAGATGATGGGCCAAAGAGGATAAGGGCCAGGGAAAGAGTAAAGAACTTGGCGAACTCTGGTGGCCTAGTGGCAGGCGAGCTCTGGTGGCCTAGTGGTAGGAAACTGCACTGCAATCCCAGAGGTGCGCGGTTCAAATCCACCAGATGGTCTGCTGAAGAAGGAGGAACAATTGACTCCTGTACCAGTTAGATCCAATTTGACAGTACACACATAAAAAGAATAAATACATAAATAAAAATTTAAAAAAAAAAAGAGTAAAGAACTTGGTCCAAGGTTATGAAGGACAAAAAGGATGAGATTTTATGGGCTGACAGGGTTGAAACATGAGGAGACTTGAAGGTGATCAAAATGAGCCTGGGTTGGTCAGGAGAAAAGTGACAAGTCTTTCATGGACACTGTCCCCTGTCTCATGGCCTTTTGCTGAGTGCTGTCCAGATGGAAACATCTCTAAGCTGACTCTCCAGCTGGTTCTCAAAAGCTGTAAGTTGCATGGGAGGAGACTGATCCTCTTTCTTTCATGGAGCACCTAGTGGACTTGAACTGTGTGCATCTAGGTCGGTAGCACAACTCCTTACCCACTAGGCCACCAAAGCTCTCATGGTCTATTGTTGTTATGTGCCGTTGAGTCACCTGAAACTCATAGTGACCCTATATACAACAGCCCTAAACCCTGCTCTATCCTGTGCCAATCTCACTGTCTCTGACACACCTACCCCCATGACTCCAGTCACTGAATCAATCCATTTCATCAAGGGTCTTCCTCTCCTGCGCTGTCCTTCCACTTTCCAAAACATGTTGTCCTTCTCCAAGGACTGGTCCCTCCTTGCAAAATGTCCAAAGACCAGGCTGCTCCTTGAAGGCAAGGATTCTGAAGCTTCATGGCCTATCAGATGGGTATTTTAGAAAACAAGACCACTACAAGACAGATCTCCCACAGGTTTGGGTTGCCTTGCACATGCAGAGACGGTGTGGCTGGCAAAGGTGAATGCAAACGTAAGAGACCCTACTAGGGGAGGGGTAAGGGCTCAGAGTCCTCCGGGGGCCAGCCAAGGCCCTGCAGCAGCATGAGGCCCACCTAGAAGGGCAGGACTTGAGTTCTATAAAGCACCACTCACTCAGCACCTCTACTTAAGACCTTCAGACCCACCACTTCCATTAACCTTCACAGCAGCAAGGCCGCTGTCCCGGCACCACATTACGTGTGAGGCTGACCAGTGGCCTAAGGTGATTGAGACCAACAGGGCTTCCAGAGCACAGCTTTAGGTCAAGGGTAAACAATAGTGGGGCACACAGGGGCCTAAATACTATAGTGCAAGGTCAACCCTGTCCACCACCACCACACGGTCATCCACAGCTTACCCAATGACCACTGACATCAACTGAAAGCTGTCATAGCTAACACGCAAACCTACTGAGACAGCTGTGTTCCAATAAAACTTTATTCACAAAGACAAAGCGAATCCTAATTTGCTGACCCCAAATACAACAGACTCCATTTCCATCACATTGAACCCTGCTGCTCCTTGAATACAAGAGCAAGTTCTGAGTCAGGGCCTTTGAACTGGCTTTCCCTGCCTAGCATGCTCCCTCACCTCCATCAGAGCCTAACTCGGACCTTATCTTTTCAGGAGGATCTGATTCCCTTGACCACTTTCTTCCATTGTACTTAGACTCTTCTAGTACATTTTTGGAGCACTCTGGTAGCCCAGTGGGTAAAGAGTTGCACTGTCAACACGAAAGCACATGGTGTGAATCCACTGCCCACTCCAAGGGAGAAAGAGGGGCAATCTCCTCTCATGAAATGTCCAGCCTCTGAAAACCTGCTGCATCAGCTCCAGGTCAGTCCTGACTCAACAGCATTAGACAAAAACAGAAATATACTCCCCCGCCCCCACCAAGAACCCAACTTTCTTATTTATTTTTTTCATTCACATGCTCTTTCTCATACATTGTATCTTATAAAATTAATCACCATTAAGCTATGCCCACTTGTATCGATCTTTCCAGATCTCAACTGGATCTTTCCTAATTCCACTGCCCTTTCCCTCCACCTACCAAACTCTGTGATCCTGTGATTTCTCTCTTCCCTTCTTAAACCTCCTGCCCCCTCCCATTCCCATCCAATTTTTTTTTTATTACTATTAAGTGCCATTGGGTTGTAGACGACTCAAAACAACCCTATGAACAAAAGACCTGAATACTTGTATAACTTTCATCATTTCTCCAAGTTCATAGCATTTCCAGAGGCAAGCTATTTTGGAAGTGGATGCCACTCCTACTTTCAAGCTTGTTTTAATCAGGGAGTTCCACCAAACACTGTCCACCATGGGTAACCATTATCACATTTGACACATTAGTGTCACAGAGTTCAGCATCACAGCAACCTCGAGTTACCTCTGTACAGCAAGTGGACAGACCAGTGCTATATTCATATATTTTTACTATATTCATGGTATATTATTAAATAAAACTTTAAGAAGAAAATATTTTATTAAGAAAATATTTTTCTACTTACTAAGAAACTATTTTCTACAAAGCTCTTTCATTAAAGATTTTACATCATTAATTCCAAATTATTAATGTAATTAATTATAATGTCTTGTAATGACAGAATCTCATTGTACACTGCCTTTCTCTTCATTCAGCTCACCCATCCCTCTTTGCTCCCCTCTCTGTCCCATCCTGTCCCTTGCCACTCCTCCAAAACTGAGTTAATCATAGGGAGCTCTGATGGCCTAGTGGCAAGAAGCTGCACTGCAATCCCAGAGGCACATGGTTCAAATCCACCAGATGCTCTGCTGCAGAAGGAGGAGGAATCTCCTCTTGTACGTGTCAGATCCAATTTGATGGTACACACATAAAAAGGGATAAAAAGATATAGAAAGAAATTAAAAAAAACCAAACTGAGTCAATCTGTGTGTAAATCATTCCCTAGGTTTCTTTTAAGTCAAACAAGCATATTTTCTTCTATATTGTGCCAATCAGTAGCATCAGGATGGATGGCAAAGAGATTCAGATTGTTCACAGCTTCAGTTTGCTCGGCTCCAGGGTCAACACTCTTGGTACCAGTAGGCAGGAAATAAAAAAACATATTGCGATGGGAAAGTCTGCGGTTAGGGACCTCTCTAAAGTACTCAAGAGCAACGGTGTCTCTCTGGAGACTAAGGTGCGCCTGATACAGGCCATGGTTTTTGCAATCACTTGTTATGCATCAGAGAGTTGGACAATGACAAGGGAGGATAGAAGGAGAATTGACGCCTTTGAGCTGTGGTGCTGGAGAAGAGTATTGAATGTACCATGGACTGCCAAGAAAACAAACAGATTCATCCTAGAGAGGGTTAAACCAGGCTGCTCCTTGGAGGCAAGGATTCTGGGGCTTCGTCTGACATACTTTGGACATGTTGTAAGGAGAGACAGGTCCTTGGAGAGGGACATCATGCTTGGTAGGGTAGAGGGAGAGCAGGAGGGGAAGACCCTCTATGAGGTGGATTGATTCAGTGACTGGGGTAATCGGGATAGGTGTGTCAGAAGCAATGAGATTGGCACAGGACAGAGCAGGGTTTAGGGCCGTTGTATGAGTCGCAAACGACTCGACGGCACATAACAACAACAACATTGTTAATTAAAATATCTACAACATTTGATCATCCATTTGTTCCACGCTGTCCTTCCCTATTCTTATTCCAATATAATATTCATTGTCTACTCAGAGATTTAATTTTTAGAAGTTCCCATTCATCCATTTGATCTTTTCCTGGTTGTGCATTTTTGGCTACTTGATAGCCTACATATGCTGTAAATTTTGTTGTTGTTGTTGTCGTTAGATGCCATTGAGTTGATATGACTCAGGTGACCCTAAGAACAACAGATCTGAATCCTGCCCTATCCAGTGCCAACCTCACCACCTGTGACACACTTGAGCCCATTGCTACACTGTGTCAATACATCTGGTTGAAGGTCTTCCCCTATTTCAATGACCTTCTACCTTTCAAAGCATGTTATCTCTTTCCAAGAAGTAACCTCTCCTAGCAACATGCCCAAAGTATGAGATAAAGCTTTGCCAGCTTTCCCTCCAGGGAACATTCTGGCTGCACCTTTTCCAAGGCATACTTGTTCGCTCTTTTGGTAGTCCATGGGATATTCAGAACTTTTCTCCAACACCACAAATCAAAGGCATCAATTTTTCTTCTCAAGTTTCACGGGAGGAAGGACGGAGTGGGGAAATTAGGAAAGATCCAGTGGAGACCTGAAAAAATGGGACAATCGTGGGCATTGATCTAAAACACAATGTATGTTCATATAAAACACAATCTGAATGAAGGAATATGTGAAATAATGCATATGAACGCGGTATAAAAATAATATAAAAATTTTCAAAAATCATCTTAAGAACAGGTTTGAGACACTGATCACCAATGACTGAAGACAAGAGGAGTTATGCGATGAAATAAAGGATATCATCAATGAAGAGAACAAAAGGTCATTACAAAGACAGAGAAGAAAGAAAAAGACAAAACGGATGTCAGAAAAAAATGATGAAAACTGCATTTGTTGTGTTGTTATTATGTGCTGTCGAGTGGCTTGCGACTCATAGCAACCCTATGTACAACAGCTCTAGGCATCAAAATGTCAAAACGTAGGGAAAAGAAGTAGATCAACAGGATATTTCAAAGGGCAGTTTGAGAACAAAAGCAAAATATTATACGCTGCATGCCCACTGGGAAAAGGCCCTAGCAACATGGTCACTGGGAAGATCTGCATGTAGAGACCTCTCCAAATGCATAACTCACCATCAGTTGTTGTGGTGCCAGAGAGTCACTACGTGCCTTATGGAACAAGACCCTGCGTGATCCTGACAATGTTTGCCAGGCTAGAGCCGGTGTGGCAGCCACGGCATTCGTCCGTCAGTCCGTCCATCCAGCTAAGGAACACCCTCTTTTTTTCAATGACACTCTCTACCTTTCCGAACATGTCCTGATAATACACCCAAAGCATGCGAGATAAGGCTCACTATCCTCATTTTTTCGGGGTTTTTTGTTTAGTTTATTTTCTGATTTTTTGTGCGTGTATCATCAAATCAGGCCTGACTGGTACAGGAGGAGACTGTCCGCCTTCTCCAGCAGAGCATCTGGGGGATTCGAACTACGCACCTTTGCGATTGCAGTATAGCTTTCTGCCACTAGGCCACCAGAGCTCCTATCCTCATTTCTAAGGAGCATTCAGGCTGCACTTCTTCCACGACAAATGTGTTCGTTTTCTTGGCAACCCATGCATTTCCAACCACACGTTGTAGCTAACAGAGGTGAATAAATATGCAATATTCTAGTCAAGGGTGCTCTTCTCCATGAGCTTACCTTGTGTGAGGACCATAAAGATAATTAAAGACTAATTAAGCAGCTTTAAAAGGCTGCTCCGACAGTCTAGAGGTAAGAAGCTGTGCTGCAAACTCAACATTCAGCTCGGCCACCCGCTCCTTTCCCTGCTACAAAGACGACCGCCATCGAGCTCGCTTCTGATTGGTCAGCTTTAAGCTCCTCCCACCAACGTCTACCCACAAGTCCTCGGGGCGGGGAATGACAGGAGTGCGTGGGCGTGGTCATTTACCGGAAATGACGTTCCCGGAAGCGCCAGGTGCCGTCGGCGGGGAAAGGTGGGGAAGGGTCCCGGCGATGTGATGGGTCCGGGCGGTTGAGCGTGGCCCAGATCTGGAGGGGTGCGACCGCCGTGAGTGTGGGCCTGCAGCTTTCTCTTCCCTGACCGCTCCCCTGACCGCGGCTGGCGTCTGACCCATCAGGCCCATCACCGCGCCTTCTGCCGCACTGCAGAGACCGGAACACCTGCCGGGATTTGCCAGGGCTTCACCACCTGGGCCAGCGCGCCTGCCAGAAAGGCGCCTTTCGTACTGTCAGTCGGTTTCCCTTCCAAGAGTACGCCTCTGCCCCCGCGCCGGCCCCCTTACCTCTTCTCTTCTTGATACTCCTTTCAACGCCAGGTCTTTCCTCCGCGGTGCCTTCTGCCCCTCCCCCCTGCGTCTGCGGCTGTCATATCTGAGTAGCTCACCCCCCTGGTACCCACTTAACCGACCTCGGGACGGGAAAGGAGGGAGTTCCTTTGACCCACAAGAGAATCGCTTCCAGAGACGCTCAGATGCTTCCACCACCCTCTGCTTCACTTAAGCTTTTATGGACACTGCGCTGAGTGTACCAGATAGGCATTTTTGAGAGGTTTGCGATTAGTTTGAGTCGTGTGACCCCTTGAAGAACCTCTGTGGAACACGGATTGCTTCTGCATTCCCTAGCAGAGGAAATCGATGAAGGAAGTGTGAGCCGACTATGGACGAGACAGAAACGACCGAGATAAAATGATTTCTGAGGGAGGGATCGGTAGAAGCCATGAATAGACTGATAAAAGTTAAATGTGGGCTCTTGGACAGGTTGCAATTGTGGACAAAGTAAAAATCTCTTTTGGAGGGAGAAGGAAAGTATTGAAAGACTTTAACAGGGCCGTTTGACACATGGCTCTGCATTCCAAGAGAAATCCTGCACAGTTTATGTACTCAGAAGCAACTTGTTAGGGCTTTCTGTAATTCAGGGTGTATCAATCACCCAGACTGCTTTTGGGGATGGTGAAGAATAATGCATATAGTTGGAAGTTGGCATCTAATTCCAACAAGAGTTAATATATTGAAAGATTGTAAACTTACTGGTTGGGGACCCAGACAAAATTCCCAAGCTTTCCTCCCCCCATCTGAAATTACAGTTGCCCTCCTTTGTTTTTTCCAAGAGTGTAGCTTTTGAAGATAGGTTTGAATAAATTGCTCTTTTCTGGATCTAAAGTCCTTGCCCAAGGTGATGTTGATTGCCTAGAAAGGTAGTTGAATGAGCAGAGTTCTCCTTAGGAACATTGGTTTTCAGATCAGCTCCCAAAGCACAACACAGAATTCAGTCGCTCCTACAAAATAAAAATGATCAGACGTTCGTGAGTCAATGAACTCTGCCCCAGGTCCTGGATTGGTGTGAGTACCTGGAAGTTTTAAATACAATCAGGCGATAAAAAACAAAAGACTGTCCCTTTGCTTAGGGCAAAGAAGGCCTATTGACAGGAAGAGGTGCAGGAAGGTTAGAACAAGACCTCTGGAGCCCATTATTATGTCTCTCCTCCTATGCCACCTGTTTATGTCATAGTAGTTGTGGAGTTTTTTAGTTGGCCAATACTTCATCATTGTGATTATGGATTCATGGAGAAGTCTCAGACTTTTTGTAAGAAAGATACTTTTTTTATTATTATTTTAATGAGCCTGAACTTTTTCTTAGTAAGGTAGAGGTTTGTGAGACAGGTGTGCTGTGTGCTAGACTGTCTGGGATGATGGAGGTGCTGGTGCTGATGCTGGTGCCGTCTTTTTCCCGTCTTAGAACTTGCTGGTCCTGATGCCTGACCATGGGGATGCGAGCCTCCCACCTGAAGACCGGGTGAGGGCTCTCTCCCAGCTGGGCAGCGCTGTGGAGGTGAGTGAGGACATCCCGCCCCGCCGCTACTTCCGCTCTGGGATGGAGATGATCCGAATGGCATCCATTTACTCCGAGGAAGGCAACATCGAGCATGCCTTCATCCTCTACAACAAATATATCACGTAAGACTCCTACCACTTCCCTTTCCAGCTGGTGCTTCGTTGTTTTGCTTTGTTCCAGTTCTACGCTTAATTCTTTGCCTCAGAAATGCTAAAACTAGGGAACTTGAAAACATCATGAGCATTAATCATTTTTGCTGGTGCTCCTACGTCTTAACTGTCCTTGCCATTCAAAGAAAAACGTTCTGTGGGTGTTATTTTCATGACTCAGATTTTATGAGTAAGAAGCCTGGTGCCCACGTGTCACAGCTGTTAGGCAGGAGTTGGTGATGAAAGTAGATCTGAATTGAGTGGTTTTGCTGCTGACATCTCTCTATTCAGGCAGCCAGTCACAGGATTATTGTACAAGTTTGTCAGAGCCAAAATCTCTCACTTTTATTTCTTTTGCAGCAAATTAAGTGATTCAGGGTTGACTTTTTCTCTTTAACTTTTAGTAGTCATGTACTTGCTGGCCACCTACAGTTTGTGTGACCCATCATAATACACCTTTCGATGAGTTAGGATTTGCATGTTAGAATTGAAGCTATGAGGACAGCAAGCTGAGAGCCCAGAGTCAATGAAATGGTGCATCATTTAGGAAGAGGAATAATGCTAAAGAGTTGTTTATAATTTCTTTCATAACAAGTTTTTTTAAAAAACAATAATGGAGTGTATTGGTGTAGATCTTACTGGCTCATAGAGCCTTTTATGTCCATCATTTCATTTGATCTTCGTAGGGCTCTGGGAATCTCTTCCCATGTCTGAGTAAACAAATCTCAGAGAGGTTTAGTGATGCGTTGAACTTCCACCGTTTCTCTCTGTCTCATTGCTGTCAAGTGAGAACGGACCCATAACTGTGTTGCATTTCCAAGGCTGTAATCTACACAGGAGGAGAGTGTCCATCTTTCTCCCAAGGAGCCACTGTTAGATTCAAACCAGCAGAGAGGGGCAGCTTTGGGGTCGGCAGTGCCACTCCCTGCCCGCTGTGCCCCCGGAACTACCTGTCCCATGGTGTCGAGAAAAGCTGATAACCAGCTTTGCTAACTGGTAATTCAGAATTCATTTTAACCAGTTTTGTTTTTCCATTTTGATAAAGCTCTGAATTAAAGATATTCGCTTACTTTTTTTTTCTTTTGCGCCATTTATTATAGTTTAGTGAAAGTTTACAGAGCAGATTCCTTTTCCATCTAACGATCATCACATTGAATACAGTCCCTGCATGGTAAGAGCACTTTTCCCTCTGGCTGTGTTTGAATGTATTCTCGATAATTCTTAATCATGAGTCACACAAACTTCTTCCTCCCCCCCCCCTTTTTATTATTGTCTTTTGTGCATGATTTTTTTAAATACTCTGTTAAAAATACATAACATGAAATAGACATCTTGAGAGTGTTTAGGTGTACAGTTCAGTGGTTCTGTGCTGTGTGTTCATCGCCGCTGTCCGATTTCTAGAACCTTTTCATCCCGTTACTGTTTACTGAATAACATATACACAGTGTAGGATTCAGAAGACAGTAGAGGACGTGTATACAGCTTTAACAGTCCCTCCTAAACCCCCTGAGTTCCTGTCTTCAGAGAGAATTAGTGTTTCGTACGTCCTTCTGGACGTACTGGCAGTTTCTAAGCGATGCTAAGTTTTTGATCAGACCTGTTCTGAAACTGAGTTTCTCGGCCTGGGTACAGCAACATTTGGAGTAGATGATTCTCTGTTGCAGGGCCTGTCATGCGCTTCTGAGACACTGAGCTTAGCTGTCTACCCACTAGAGGCCGTTACTCATCTTCACCCACGTGCTGATGAAACCTGCCGCCACATCTTGCTTAATATTCTCTGACAGCCCGAATCACTGCCGGCTGAGAAACACTGCCCTGGTGGAAGCACGGACAGTCTAGAATTCCTGCTACCACTTTAAAAGTGGAGGAAAATGACGATGGCTTTTTATTTACAAGTATTACCTTGTCTCTATAAAAATAGCCCTTCAGGTGAGCTCTGGTGGACTAGTGGCAAGAAGCTGCACTGCAATCCCAGAGGTGTGCAGTTCAAATCCACCAGATGCTCTGCTGAAGAAGGAGGAACAATTGCCTCCTGTACCAATCAGATCCGATTTGATGGTACACACATAAAAAATAATAATTAAAAAAAAATAGCCCCTCAGTGTTCACAATTCCTGTCATCTGACCACAGTGTTGGTCAAGTTTCGTGGAGTTGTAATTCCTTTTTATCTCATTGCTGGGGTGACCTTTTATTTCCTGGGCATGATAACATTTACTTTCCTGAGAAGCTTCTTTGGTGACTGTACCTTCTCTCATACACTCTACTGCTGGTAGAAATAGTATTCTTGCATAGTCCAGGTAACCTTGCACATAACTCTCTCCAGAATGAGGCCCAGGGCCACTGCCCCTTTGGGAAATCCCTGTGAGGAGGGAGAGTAGAAGCATGGCTTTGGTCAATCGAATGGTTCTGAGGGCTTTCCAGGCCATATTAGCTCACACAGAAGGTGCTTTGAGATCAAGGACCATGTCGTTGTTAAGTGCTGTCGAGTCACTTGCGACTCATAGTGACCCTCTGTACAGCAGCTCTGAACCCTGCTCTATCCTGTGCCGACCTCATCGTCTCCGACACACCCACCCCCATTACCTCAGTCACTGAGTCAGTCCATCTCACCCAGGGTCTTCCTCTCTTGTGCTGTCCATAGCCATTCAGTAAATCCATGGGGAGTGTCTCCAGTCAGCTTGGCACTGCGGAGGGCGGCGTGACATGGCCCCTGGTCTTATTGATGCTCCTTTCTAACTGTTAGAGAAGACAATACATAGGATAAGCAAACATATCATTAATAAATAGAAAATGCTATTAAAACAACAAAGAAGCTACTATACCAGAGAATAAGTAGGGCTATTGAGCTAAAGAAGGTGAAGGAAAAAGCCTGTCCGAGGAGGTTTATTTAAGCAGAGGCTTGAAGGATTAGACTTGGTCCAGAACATGAGGCAGAGTGCTGAAACAGGGACAGCTTGGTGCGTTCGGAAGCCTGGAGGCAGGGAAGGCCTTACCATGCTCTGGGAATGAGAAGACCTTTGTGTTTGGAATGACTTCTCAGAGGGGTGGAGAGAGAAGCAGGCCCAGATCCTGCAAGGCCTTCGGTGCTGCAGGAAGAGGGTGCATTTTATCCTGAGCCCAATAGCAAGCTATGGAGAAGTTCTAAGGGAAGTTGTGCCCTAAGATCACTTTGATTTTAGAATGTCATTTTGAGCTGCTGTGTGGGATGGCTGAGAGAAGGCAGGCAGAACAGTTGCTGGGGTGCGGGGGGAACACGCAGGTGACTTGAGGTAGTGAGATGACGAGAGGAAGCAGAGGGGTCGGCATTTTGGAGGACTTGCTGGTGGTTTGGAACATTCGGCCGTGTGGGAAGAGACCTCTTGTGGTCTGTTGACTGAGGGATGGATGATATCATAAAAAACGAGTTAGCTGTTAAGGGAATTTGTATCCTTTTTTAACATTTTCAGTTTGTGCTGCCTGTGAGATACCCCAGTACAGGGGCCAAGCAGGAGGAGATGCCAGTCTGAACTCAGAGGTGTGGTCTTGTTTGAAAATATAAACGCATGCACTAGAAGGTTCTGAATTCATGTAGTACCGAGATCTTTAATCTGGGGTCTAGAAAACCACAGAAGTCCGGGGGATCCATGAACTGCCATGGGAATTTATTGTTTCTCTTTTTTTTTTCACTACCTGGCTATAAAGAAGTCTTGGTGGCATATTGAGTTACCTGCTGGACTGCTGGCCCGAACATCAGAGGTTCAAATCCACCAGTGTTCCTTGAAGGATAGAAAGGCTGTTGGCTCCCAATAAGATTTACAACCTCAGGGACCCAGGAGAGGGCCTTCCTGAGCCTGAATCCCGAAGTGGGAGTCGGTTTCCTTTGAACTGGCTGAACAGTGAGCTCAGACATAGAAGCACTTGTTAGGGGTCAAAACCGGCGGCGTTTCTTCTGCTGCAGGAGAGGTGATTGTAGGACGGAACCACCTCCCCTTCCTACAGCAGCTACAGTTTGACCTTTCTTTCCATTCATCATGGAGACTTCAAACCACGGGAAGATTAGTATTTGTGAATTTTGTCACCAGTGTCCAGATATTTTCACGATGTAGTTTTCCACTTGTTGCTGATGTGTCAAAATGTGACTTGGGCTTGTCCTGACTGGAGAAGTACAGAGCAGCGCACAAGACCCTGGCGCTTTGCTGCTGTCGGGCACCATCAGGCAGGCAGCTCTGTGTCCTGATGAGCTTCTGTGCAAGGCAGGGACCAGTGCCCAGTGTCGCAGGATCCCCTGGTGATTGCTCTGTAAGACGCCCAGCTGCAGGCACTGTGTCGGTCTGTCTTTTGGAAGGTCATCTTCTGTTTCAGGCTGTCGGCTTGACAACCATGATGTCCTAACCAGGGACTGGTTGCTCTTCCTGATAACATGTCCATAGTATGCAAGGTAAAAGCCCACCATCCTTGCGTCTAGAGAATATTCTGATTATGCCTTTTTGAAGATGGATGTTTTCATTCTTAGGACATTCCGTGGTATTATGTTTAGTCCTCTTCAGCTGCACTGCATTTCATAGGTGTTAATCCTTCTTCAGTCTTCCTTACACATTGTCCAGGTTTTGCATGCTTGTGTGATCATTGAAAATGCCGTGGCGTGAATCAGG